CCCCAAACACAAAATTGGCAGGAACATCTTGTGCCAAGCATATTTTCCAAAGTACAAAAGAAATTGTTGATATTTGGAAAACATGGCCAAGGCTAATGGTTGCTCTATCTGCTAGGCCACCCATTACAAAAGAATGTAAGGAAACAGTATAGAATATCAGATCAGACCTTATTAATATTACTTGGCCACTTTATTTCACAGCCATAAGGAGGCAACAACAGCTATTCATATATGAAAGAATGTGGCACATCTTAAATAAACAGCCGTGCCTAGCTAGAAGTGAGATGTTTCTGATTTATCAAATAAAAACTCTGAATTTGGTGTAGGAAAGCAACATATAATGGTACTTTTTGCCCATTCCTATTTTCCATTTAGATAATCTGGGTATAAACAGCATTAGTTGGCATTTTCTAGAACTTAGTATTTGTTTGGAAGTGTCAATTAGTTGTAAGGTTGAAGCAAAATTGCTGTCTTTGATTTCCAGAAACTATTGAAGCAAAATTGCTATATATGATTTAAAGAAACTGCAGGATTGAAACAGCTTAGCAATCCTCGAATTCCAGAATTGTGACTTAACACGTATGAGCCATTTGATCCGAAGGGTAAGACATGTCATTTATCATGCACTCATAATAGGAACGTTTTTTGGAATCTAATATGATTTTATTTCCTTGATCTTTCTTGATTTTAATCAATTAGAATCCATTTAGAATTTAGGCATATTTTACAATATCTTTTTACTTATTCTTTCTTTCTCTTATCCATGATTTGTTACTTATTTTTTTAAAGTAATTTACTTGCAAAATCAAGTTTTAATCAGATCACATTATTAAAGGTGTTGAGATATTCTTGGTAGTTGACCTAAGAATATTAGGACTCCTTTAATGGTGAGATTATCATAAATTTCCTTTATTTGAGTTTTTACTTTCCTAATGTTTTGGGCTTCACGTGTGATCACTATTAGAATAGGAAAATATCTTTTTGATTTTATTCAATTCGTGCAAATCAAGTAATTTGGTTTTGACTAGGAAACATATCTTTGGTTATTTGGTTAGCCTTCAATGAAATTGCTTGTTTTTTGGACGTGGACTTTTCTTCCTAGAGAAGAAAAAGTTATATAAAACAAGGCTTGATGTTTTTCTTCTGTACAGCTTTTGAACAATAATTTTGTGTGCTTAAACGTTTAAGAAAGCTGCATTTTTATTTGAGATAAATCATCAAGTGTTCCATGTTTACTTGGTGATTTATCAAACACTTTTATCATTCATATTGCATTCATTTGTATGTTTGGTGTCTCATACGATTGAGGGCATCAAGACCGTGGTGGCAGTTTTTCTCCGGTGAGCTTGAATCGATCGTGACCATCGGATTCAACATAAGGAGAGTTGGAAGAACTCCGGCAAGCTTGAAACAATCGTGACCAGTATTGCACTCAACATAATGAGTGTCGAAGATTATCCTGTGACAGAAGTTGAATTACGAAGAAGTCGGTAAACATTATCTAGAATGTGTCTAGGATAAGTGTGTGGGTACTTCTTGTAATCATCGTTATATAGTGGATTTGTGTTGGATTGAGGAGTCCCGTGGATTTTCCCAAGAGGTGGGGTTTTACCATGTTAAATATTTCTCTGCGTGTTCCTCTATTTTATGTTCAGCATGTTTCAGGATTGATAAGCCATATCAATTATGCTACATAAGTTTATTTTTTGTTTACTGATTATAATCTTAAATTGGCCTATTCACCTCCCTCTAAGCAATTTTTAGTTATCCTAAATGTAATTTCAATTGGCCAAGGTTAATGGCCTATCTATCTGATAGGCCACCCATTACAAAAAGAATGTAAGGAAACAATATAGAATATCAGATCAGACCTTGTTAATATTACTTGGCCACTTTATTTCACGGCCGTAAGGAGGCAACAACAGCTATTCAGATATGAAAGAATGTGACACATCTTAAATAAACAGCGGCACCTAGCTAGAAGTGAGATGTTTCTGATTTATCAAATAATAACTCTGAATTTGGTATAGGAAACCAACATATAACTGTACTTTTTGCCCATTCCTATTTTCCATTTTAGATAATCAGAGTATAAACAGCATTAGTGAGAGGGATTAGTTTCGGGCGCTACTAAGTTCGAGTACTTTGATCACTAGCTGTTTTCTTCACCAGAAAATTACACAAGAAGATTAACCCAGTTTTGATATTGTGATCATGATGATTAAGACTTTAAGTAGGAGAAGAGTTTGGGGTAAATAAAACATACCCTTTTTAAGTTTTTATGTATGGAGCAACTTTCTTTGTAAAAATTTCAAAGCATGACATAAGGTGAAGTATACAACATTGATTGCCCTGCAAATTCAGCAACAACCCCTCGTGAGGAGAAAGCTGGTTTAGAATTTCACGTGGCCAACAGAAGCAGATTCAAGTGGCTAAAAGTTGCAACCCAAATGTGGATTCCGTGCACTGCAAAGTAAAAAGACTAGGACGTCTTTTCTTTCTTTCTTCAACTACCAACGAACCTAAAGGCCTAAGGAGGCCTGTACAAATTTGAAACCAGTAAGTAACCTATCTTATGGACGAAATTTAACGCAGTATAGTAAACCACATTCTGCTTATAATTTCTAATTCCTCAAATAGCAACCCCAACCAAAACTTACAGCTAGAGCACTAGAAAAGTTTGTTCTTGCGTGCACGACAGGCAACAAGGAAAAACCATTCAGCTAGCCTTTATAGCTGCAAGAGGCTTGCGCCTAATAAGAAGATCTTGAGTTCCACAGAAGAAAGTCTTGAAATTCTTCAAAACCCACTCACACATGCAGCTTGGATTAGGTTCCATACAGTTTATCTCATGAAAATGGTCAAATATGTGGAAAATGATTAAAGTACTAAAGATGTTAGTACGAAAATTGTATTGACATTTCCAAAACTCTAGCATAGGTTGCAAATTAGGTTGTGAGGAATTGTTACTGGACGTTTTGGTACAACTCATTCAACCCCATACTTCCGACGCATAACTTGACCATATGAGAAACTTGACAACAAGTAAATCATGATATAATCATGCATTCACGATAGGATTTATAGTTGAAGTTATTTTCAATGTCATTGTGATTGAAGTTACAATATTAGCGGTTCCTATAGTGATGTGCACTATGCTTATCTCCTAATTAACTTGTTTTAGGAGATAATTGATTCTTTATAAAAGTGGCTGTTTGGTGTCATCACTAATAGTCCATATTGAATCAGAATTTATATTCTTATTGAATCTGAATTTATATTGCTAATCGAATAATTGTTTGGCTACTGTTTTGGCGTCTCAATGAAGAGACCTTCTTGCATCAGGTTTAGAAGTCTTAGTTGAATGGGTTTTAAGAATCATTGTTGGACAGGAAGTGTGAATACGTGGGTTTCTCTCTAATGAGTGAAACCTGCATGGAATAAAAGCATGGTTGTGTCGTTTCAATTGTGACGCTTTCAACGCATTAAGTTTCTGATCATATTGAATCTGTTTTGAGAAAGCTGTTGTGCTTAGTTTCTTCGGTAAGTCATTAAGTGCTCCTTTGCTGCTTGGTGATTTATCGAATCTTTTCATCATTCATAATTGCATACATATGCATGTCGGTAACTCATATGGTTAAAGGCACCAAGACTATTGTGGCGTTTATCCTCCAATGAGCACTCATATGGTTGTGGCAATTTCAAAAGATATTAATGTGTTTCTTCCAATACATATATACATTTATGTTTTATGTACAAGACGTTTATTCTATATTAAAGGACGAATTGTCAATATGATATTGATAAAACCTTGATATCATTATCGATAATATATGAATAACAAAACATACGGATACAAAATTCGTCATGTAACAAAGGAAGACGGATGTGCTAGCTGCACAAATAATATGTTTGTACTGCAGTTAATTGAGTTTTACCTTAAGTGCTAATTTGAGTCTTGAAATTAAGGAGTCCATATAAGCTTCATCTGACATAGCCCAGGGTGATAATATCCCCCTAAACATTATATCGTTAGAGCCAATTACAACTGCATAAATTGCTTTTCTCAACAATTTCTGAGCTGCAGGAATGCCAATCCTCGACAGTTGTCCCATGATTATTGATTTGCGTGTCAAAATTGATTCGATCACCCTATGCATATATATATATATATATATCAATTATTCACATAATTTTGGCTTTATAAATGGCACTTCACGGGAATTTTTAAAGGGAAACAAATAAACAAGAAACATCATGAGGAGAAATCTTCCTTAGCACAAAACACTTACAAAGATAAATCCACTGGAATTGTAAATTCCAGCGGCACAGGAAGCATAATTGACAACCCTTTTTTTTTTTTCCTTTCCTTTGGTAGGAGGCCTTATGTAATATATACTTTTTAAAAAAAATATATGGGAAATTTGTGCCTAACTGGGCCATGGAATTCCCTTTTCTTTTATCTGACAAAAAAAAAAAAAAAATCCCTTTTCTTTCAAGAGATAGTGCACCAAACACTGGTTAAATTTGTGCCTAACTCTCTATGCCAGGAACAGCTCGATTTGTTCCATATTTTAAGTTCTAACACATGTTTTTACCTATTAGCTAGATTAACTTAATTAAATTTGCGTGACCACCACAACGAGAAGATTAGATTTTGAACTTTAATTATTCAGTAAATGGCATGGAAAGGCTTATAAGGAGTTGGGCTACTCCGCTTATTGCCAATTGGTTTTGGGGTGGAACCTCAACTTCCTTCATGGCATCAGAGCAGGTTGCATACATGTGAAAACCCAACCATCACACGTGCTTCATGTCACCCAATATGTATTGTTTACGTGTTAGACTTGAAAATTCGACACACGTGCTAGGGCGTGCAAGAATGTGAAGGTAAAAATGTCCCATATTGGAAAGTTGAGAAACCTAACAATTGCTTATAAGGTATTGAGCTATTCCCCCAATTGTCAATTAGTTTTGAGATGAAACCTCAACTTCCTTTAGAAAGTCCATTAAATATTCATAGCAAAGTTTGATATATAGGTTTAAAGACTGAGAACCAATAATTATTTCGGAGGTGGAAGACCAACAAAACAGAACTACACTGGAATTAATCATCCTGGGCCTAGATGACACAGCGCAACAAGGCTTGAAATTCTTCAAAACCCACTCACATGCAGCTTGGATTCCATCATTTATTTCATCAATATTAATGAACCATCTTGCTTTTTTTGAATTACAAACAGGGTCGTCCTACATCATATTCAGCTCATTTCGGGTTCATAGATTGCTAGCTCAAGATTGCACAAGCTGTCTCAAATTCATAGGTGACATATAAGTTAAGTCACCATCCATAATATGCCTTGTTGCAACAACACAAGCAGCATCCGTCAAGTGAAATGGATCCCAGAATACATACTTTGATCTGTTGGGACAAACTTTAGATAAAGGATTGCAGGGTACCATTCCCCCTCGGCTCCCGGCAAATGCGCAGCATCCAGAAGTTGCAACCTCAAATCCTATCAAACATAACAGCGGTTACTAATATTGTTAGTTGTTACATGACTATAACTGCAAATCATAGAATATACAGACCATATGACGCATAATTTTGGGTGAGATCTTGCAAAATTCGATAAATATCTGCGTAAACAAACTTTGCCCCTTGAAGCTCTTTGTTAAGCTCTGCAAGCATGCTCTTCAACTTCTTGTTGTATATCTGGGCCATCTTATTTAGTATACGAGCACAACTTCCCTTCTCAACTGGATGTATGGCTTTCTCAAATGGGATACACCCAACAAGTGGAGCGTTGCTCACCATAATCTTTCTAGCATCCAAGTTGTAGAGTCTCTGCAAAGGAATTTTCTTAGTGTGTGTGCTTCTAACTTTTTTATTGCAGCCAATATATGTAAGCCTTAAAGAAGGAAATTTTACCGTAAGTGCTAATTTGAGTCTTGAAATCAAGAAATCCACATAAGCTTCTTCTGACATGGCAGTGTGTTCAAACTCCTTGAACATTATGTCGTTAGAGCCAATTACAACCACATAAATTGCTTTTCTTAACAATTTCTGAGCTGCTGGAATGCCGATCCTCGATATGATAGCTAGTGCAGTTTTCCCATGGTTACTGATTTGCGTGTCAAAATTGATTCGATCACCCTAGATATACATACATATACATACATATACATATATACATGTATTATGTACGGACAACATTCTTCAGACTCATGCATGACGCATGCCGGTAGATATATGTCATGAGAATTCCGAAAAGAAAATAGCTAATGACCGGAAATTTTTGCATATGAAACTCATTTTGAAGTTTGGAATTAAAACTAGCTACTAGCTAGCTTCCCTAAATACAAAAACTTCTAGGAGGTTAGTTTAGCAGAAAACTTACATAGAAAAATCCAGTTAAATTGGAAATTCCAGAGCCAGCGGAAGCATAATTGACACCTTGTAGAAGATTGTCTCCAGCAGCAGTTGGAGCCAAGTAAGGTGGAGTAAAAAATTTCAAACCCACTTCTTGTTCTGTCATAAGAAAATAAGAAAATTGTAAAAACTTTGCGTCGATACTCGAATACGTTTCTGCAAACAGTAGATATATATTAAGTTGGCAGACTTGAATTCCCAAAGAGAAAGAGGCAGCTATATGTATGTGTATATACGTAGTCTTATGAATGATTGAATATCCATCGAAACGTTACTTACGAATAATGTCAATAACTGTTCTCCCATTTGAAAATCGTCCTGTTGGGTTATTCCAAAAATCAAGTCCATGAGGGAGAAAATTTGCCTTAGCTAGAGTTCGAAGGTTGTTGTTGTTCCCCACGTCAACCAAGGAATCGCCAAAAGTGAAAACGGCAGGAACATTATTTTGGGCGGAGCAGCTAACCAACAAAAACAAGTAAACTACAAAAATTTGGAATATAATTATCCCCATTAATTACAAGAGATAATAATAACCTTTCTTTCTTTTTGATAAGGGGGTTGTTATCATTATATACCTCTTTCCATATCTGTGGGGAAACTTGTGCCTAACTGGTCTATGAAATTCCCTCTTAATATATTTTGGCTGAATTTGTGCCTAACTCTCTCTAGGCCGGCAGGCCACGGTTAGATTTGTTATGTTTGCCTCTGTTATGATCCACATTGTAGGCCGGCCGCAGTGATATTGGAACGACATTATTTCTGAGCTAAGTTTCATAGGTTCCAAGGAAAAGAGGGATCGGAGAACCCATTTAAGAGTTTAATTCACTCCACTTTATGTGGTATTTAGGTAGGAATTGGATTTCATACCTTAATTCATTCCACCTCATTAGAACGTACTTTTCTTAACCAACCTCTGTTGCTTTGAATTTGCAAGTCCTTAAGAGAAAGGATAAACAATTTTTTATCACATGCTTGGTGGCTTGTTTACTTAATAGGGATGGGAGAAGTCATGAATTGGGGAACTTAGATAGGGTAATCAATGTATTGGAATCAGATCAACTACCCCCCTAATTGATCCCATTCCCGATTTTGAGGGTATTCGATTACGGACTTTAACGTGGAACTGACATAATTTTTTATTCCTTATGTGTTAGTAAACGCATGAGAAGTCAAGAATTGGAATCATTTCAATACCCAAGGTCGGTCCTGAGATTTTGAGGGCTCTGTGCGAAATTTAAACTAGAGCCCTCACATAATCAAATATGAAAATACTATTTTTTTTTTTTGCCATGATTTAATGTCATAAAACAATTTTTTAATAACTAAATTTCATCATCAATTAGCATGTAATAACAATCACAAATCAAATTCATAAATTTTTCAATGTTTCATTTGATAAAGTTAAATATTAGTATGTTTGGTATGAAATTTTTTTTTGGTTTTGTTTTGAGTGGAAGAAAGTTTTTTTGTTTTTTTTGTTTTTACGAGAAAGCGTATGCGTTCAATATATACTGTTAGTTTAGTTGGATCTTTTCCCTTGTTTTTTTTTTTTTTCATGTGCTTATGTTTTCTTTAAAACTATTTTAAATTTGTTGAGGCCCAAAAAATCCAGGGTTGGGCCCAAATAAATTCCCGGCCCAGTGCGACACCTTATTAAGAAAAAACTCGATTCGGAGCATGCGAAATTCTTCATGCACGCTTGGAAGAGCCACGATCCGCGTGCCATGCCAAATAAATGTGCAATCTGTCACGCTAAGAATTGAAATGAGCCTATAAAAGGCACTGGCCTTACAAGCCCATGCTAATTATCCTGTCAGGCATCATATCTCTTTTAAAGGCGACAAAATTCAAGCACACCAAGCGACATGCAATGCCAAGCAAAAATCATTATTATTACACCTAGCCACACTACAAGCTTAAATGGGCCCAAGCCACGCAAATGCCCGGGGCTTGCTTGAGTGAGTTGTGGTATGGATGATAATAAGTTGTCATGAGGCCTATTGATGGGCCGAGAAATGGAAGTCCCGGGTTGCTTGGGAGCCTCGGGACTCAAGCCCATTTCTTAGGCCCAAATGTGGGTAAGCACAAGGAAGAAAGTAGCCCATTACTTCAACCAAAATAGTCCAACCAAAATAGCCCATCACCTCAACCAAATAGCCCAACACTTGATGAAGTTAGCCCACTTACTTGATAAACTAACTTGTTGCCCTAGAAGGCCCATACAACTAAAATAAGGAGCTGCAAAAGCCCCAGCACTTGGCTGGAGAACAAAAGCCACGAAGAGAGCTAGAAGGTCCACGTACGCAGAGTTGCTGGGAGGCTCCAGCACAATGGGAGGGGGGAACCCGGGGGTATTGGTGTGCAGACTGCTAGGAAGGGAGACATCCTTCAAACCAACGTGCATACCCATTTCTTTCCCCCATCAGATCTGGCCATGGAAGGAGGAAAGAAAGAAAGGAGTATGTTTTGCATCAATGCATTCATATTTGCATATTTGCGAGTTCATCAAAGTGGCTGTCAGATGTATAGGACTGACATATGGTTTCAGTCTTACATAATCCAGTGCCTAACATCAGTGAGTTTTTAACGATGGTTTTATATTCTTTAATTTGGTGTTTATTTAAGCAAAATGGTTCTTTTGTCTTTTCAGCTGGGTTTTTAGTTAAGTGGCTTTATTTGCTTTAAAGAAATAATTTATTTGTTAAAAAGCCCATTTTTGCTAAAAGCGTTTTTTGGTCTCTAACCTAGTTTTAAGCGTGTAATATAAGAAAGGAATTTAGTCATTTTGTTTTTTGGTCTGCAAAGTTGAAAAGCATAGAACGACAAAAATATTCTTGTAGAGAGTTTTTGAGAGTTCATATTGAAAACTCATGTGGTTGTTCCTTGTTAGCCTCCATGAGTGATTAAATCATCATCTTTTCATATATGTGTGAGTTCATGAGCATTATGCATGTTAGTGATCAGCAATCTTGCCTTCAGGTGTGAGTAGCCGAGACAAGAGTTGTGCCATCTCTTGTTCACGAAGGAAGCCAAGATTGCTTATTGGGTTGAGTAGCAAAGGCGAGTAGGGAACCAGGGGGTATTGGTGTGCAGACTGCTAGGAAAGGAGACATCCTTCAAACCAACGTGCATACCCATTTCTTTCCCCCATCAGATCTGGCCATGGAAGGAGGAAAGAAAGAAAGGAGTATGTTTTGCATCAATGCATTCATATTTGCATATTTGCGAGTTCATCAAAGTGGCTGTCAGTCTTACATAATCCAGTGCCTGACATCAGTGAGATTTTAACGATGGTTTTATATTCTTTAATTTGGTGTTTATTTAAGCAAAATGGTTCTTTTGTCTTTTCAGCTGGGTTTTTAGTTAAGTGGCTTTATTTGCTTTAAAGAAATAATTTATTTGTTAAAAAGCCCATTTTTGCTAAAAGCGTTTTTTGGTCTCTAACCTAGTTTTAAGCGTGTAATATAAGAAAGGAATTTAGTCATTTTGTTTTTTGGTCCGCAAAGTTGAAAAGCATAGAACGACAAAAATATTCTTGTAGAGAGTTTTTGAGAGTTCATTTTATTTGTTAAAAAGCCCATTTTTGCTAAAAGCGTTTTTTGGTCTCTAACCTAGTTTTAAGCGTGTAATATAAGAAAGGAACTTAGTCATTTTATTTTTTGGTCTGCAAAGTTGAAAAGCATAGAACGACAAAAATATTCTTGTAGAGAGTTTTTGATTGTTCATATTGAAAACTCATGTGGTTGTTCCTTGTTAGCCTCCATGAGTGATTAAATCATCATCTTTTCATATATGTGTGAGTTCATGAGCATTATGCATGCTAGTGATCAGCAATCTTGCCTTCAAGTGTGAGTAGCCGAGACAAGAGTTGTGCCATCTCTTGTTCACAAAGGAAGCCAAGATTGCTTATTGGGTTGAGTAGCAAAGGCGAGTAGGCAAGTCTGCCTTGTAAGCGTTAGTCTTGTGAGTTGAGACTTGTAAGACCTTTTTTATATTCTTCCTCATAGTGATTTGTTCTCCAACATAGTGCCTACAGTTGTTTTCCTCATCTTGAAGTTTTTTATTGCGTCAACATATCTTGTGTCGCTTGTGCGATTGTTTTTGCGTTTTTGTTTGAATTTATTCTGTTGCGTATTTTGGAATTCTGCTTACAGGATTGTTACAGTATTTCAATCCTGTTTGAGTATTAAGTGCTTATTGGGTTGAGTAGCAAAGGCGAGTAGGCAAGTCTGCCTTGTAAGCGTTAGTCTTGTGAGTTGAGACTTGTAAGACCTTTTTTGTATTCTTCCTCATAGTGATTTGTTCTCCGACATAGTGCCTACAGTTGTTTTCCTCATCTTGAGGTTTTTTACTGCGTCAACATATCTTGTGTCCCTTATGCGATTGTTTTTGCGTTTTTGTTTGAATTATTCTGTTGCGTATTTTGGAATTCTGCTTACAGGATTGTTACAGTATTTCAATCCTGTTTGAGTATTAAGAAACAGATCAATTGGCCATTATAGGGAATTTCATACATAATTCTTCAGACTCATGCATGACGCATGCCGATAGATATATGTCATTAGAATTCCGAAAAGAAAATAGCTAATGACCGGAAATTTTTGCATATGAAACTCATTTGAAGTTTGGAATTAAAACTAGCTACTAGCTAGCTTCCCTAAACCCAAAAACTTCTAGGAGGTTAGTTTATAGCAGAAAACATACAAAGAGAAATCCAGTGAAATTGGAAATTCCAGAGGCAGAGGAAGCATAATTGACACCTTGTAGAAGATTGTCTCCAGCAGCAGTTGGAGCCAAGTAAGGTGGAGTAAAATTTTTCAAACCCACTACCTGTTCTGTCATAAGAAAAATAAGAAAATTGTAAAACTTTGCGTCCATACTCAGATTAATACGTTTCTGCAATGTGTAGAGATATATTATAAGTTGGCAGAATTGAATTCCTAAAGAGAAAGAGGCAGTTATATATATGTAATATGAATGATTGAATATCCATCGAAACATTACGTACGAATAATGTCAACAACTGTTCTCCCATTTGAAAATCGTTCTGTTGGGTTATTCCCAAAATCAAGTCCATGAGGGTAAAAATTTGCCTTAGCTAGAGTTTGAAGGTAGTTGTTGTTCCCCACATCAACCAAGGAATCGCCAAAAGTGAAAACAGCAGGAACATTATTTTGGGCTGAGCAGCTAACCAACAAAAACAAGTAGACTACAAAAATTTGGAATATAATTATCCCCATTACTTTTAAGATATAAATAATAATAACCTTTCTTTCTTTTTGATAAGGGGGTTGTTTATATACAACTTTTGATATCTATGGGAAAACTTGTGCCTAACTGGTCTGTGAAATTCCCTCTCAATTCACCAATTTGTTGAATTTGTGCCTAACTCTCTCTAGGCCGGCCACAGGCCACAGTTGGATTTGTTCCTCTATTATACAGTCTAGGCCGGCCGCAGTGATATTGGAGCGCCATTATTTCTGAGCTATGTTTCTTAGGTGCCAAGGAAAAGAGGGATCGGAGAACCCATTTAAGAGCTTAATACACTCTCTTTATGTTGTATTTAGGTAGGAATTGGATTTCTTAGCTGTGTGGCCTGACCCTAAGACCACCTATTGTCTCCTAAATTAAATTAAATGTTAAGGTTCTGTATGGTGTTTGTAAAAATAAAATAAAAAAGATAATCACTTTAAACTTTTGGCTAACGGATCATGACAGCATACATATTTCTCAACTAGTTTGGCGTCTCCACACCTACCAATCGATTGCACCTTTTAATCTCAACAAATTTGTACTAAGTAATTAGGAGTAAATTTTTTTCCTTTTAATCTCAATTTTTCTACTTGTTTTCTTTTTTGCAATCCTTTACCTGCAATTTGCAAAGTCCCAGTCTTTCTAGTAAATTACTCTTCTTTGAAACAATCGAACGAAATGGTACTCGACCTAAATTGAGTCTGGATAGCCAGCTGAGTTTTCATCAGTTACTTGAGCAGCCTCTATGATGATAAAGATGGTCGTACTAGACCTAGACTGGTTGTTGCTTAATTCGTTTTTGTTTGGGCGGTAGCCTTCCATTCAACCAGAAAATAAATATATAAAAAAGTCCAACCAAATGCCCTAAATGTAAATTTGACTTAAAATTAGAAGTCAGAAACCGATAGTATATCACTGGTTGATTGAGTAGAGAGCATAAGATTATTTTCTTTTTCTTTTTCATACAAGCGATATTGGGGGAGTGGAGAATCGAAACTAAGATCTTAGGTGCATGGATAAATGCTCTTGAGCTACAAGCCCTTCTTGCAGAGCATAATACTTATGTTCTTATTATAATTCCCATAATGTTCTAATGCCATGTTTCTGAAGAGTGTGTTTTGAACTTAGGATGAGGTTTGAATGTTCTTGAGGTGATTAGTGAAAAACTTATAAACTTCAAATAATGACATTGAAATGTGAAATTCCGTCACTCTTGAAATTCCTCGAAACCCATAATAGCTAGCTAGCTTGGATTTGGTTCCAAAATCTATTTCATCACAGAACCATCTTGATGTTTTGAAAAACAAACATGGGCGTCTCATTGCAGTTTATTCAGGGACTGCTACGCTAGCTCAAGACTGAACAAGTTGCCTAAAATTCATAGGTGACATATAATTTAAGCCACCATCCATCATATGCCTTACTGCAATAACATTAGCAGCGTCTGTTAAGTGATACGGATCCCAGAATACATACTTGGATCTGTCGGGACAAATTTTAGATAAAGGATTGCATGGCACCAGTCCCCCTCGGCTCCCGGCAAACGAGCAGCATGCAGAAGTTGCATTCTCAAAGCCTGCATACAGTGAAACACAACAGCAGCAGCAGCAGCAGCAGAGGTTAATATTGTTATATTAGTTATTACATGATAAATAAACAAATAAATGCCGCAAAAGCTAGAATATACACGCACCATATGACACATAATTTTGTGTGAGATCTAGTAATATTCGGTAAATATCTACGTAAATAAACTTTGCCCCTTGAAGCTCTTTGTTAAGCTCGGCAAGCATGCCCTTCAACTTGTCGTTAAATGTATGAGCCATACGATTTATCAGACGAACACAACTTCCCTTTGGAAGTGGATGTATATCTTTCTCAAATGGAATACACCCACAAGGTCCAGCGTTGGTGACGATGATCTTTCTAGCATTCAAGTTGTAGAGTGTCTGCAAAGAAGGAACAAATAAATAAAAAATTCGTCAAATTAATCTGTAAAAAACTACTACTAAAGATTAGTGTGATTAGTTTGACGTAAAAATCGTACTATTACATGAGTCAATAGTCTTAATTATTAAGGAATTACTTACAGTGAATGCTAATTGGAGTCTTGAAATCAATAAATCCAAATAAGCTTCTTCGGACATGGCAGGTGCAGACTCCTTGACCATTATATCGTTAGAGCCAGTTGCAACCCCATAGATGGCTCTTCTCAACAATTTCTGAGCTGCAGGAATGCCAATCCTCGACATGATAGCACGCACGGTTCTTCCATGGTTACTTATTTGCGTGTCAAAATTGATTCGGTCACCCTATTATATATGTACATAATATTCTGAGTTATAATTAATAAAAGTAAATTGCACACCATGGTATGGTATGTATTATAAGTTAAAATTAGCTTCCTCAGCATCAGGAAGCTAATTTGAACGCATAATACAACTCGTTAGTTCTGAATTAAGACTAGCTAACTTCCTTAAATCCAAAAACTTGTAGGTTTGGGAGAAAACTTACAAAGATAGATCCAGTAGAATTTAAAATTCCAGAGCCAGAGGAAGCATAATTGACACCCTGTAGAAGAACGTCTCCAACGGTAGTTGGTGCCAAGTAAGGAGGAGTAAAATTTACGAAACCCAATTCCTGTTCTGTCATAACAAAATGAGAAAGTAGTGAAGTTAATTCAAGTACATATCTCTACATTGTTGCAAAAATAGTGTACATATATAAATTGTAATACTAATTTGCCAGAATTTAAATCACAAAGACTTGTCGTATCGTACGAAGAATGTCAAAAGTTATTCTCCCATTTGTAAATCGTCCGGTTGGTTTCCCAAAATCAATTCCAAAGGGAAAATAATTTGCCTTTGCTACGGTTTGAAGGTAGTTGTTGTTTCCCACATCAACCAAAAAAAATTCGTCAAATTAATCTGTAAAAAACTACTACTAAAGATTAGTGTGATTAGTTTGACGTAAAAATCGTACTATTACATGAGTCAATAGTCTTAATTATTAAGGAATTACTTACAGTGAATGCTAATTTGAGTCTTGAAATCAATAAATCCAAAAAAGCTTCTTCGGACATGGCAGGTGCAGACTCCTTGACCATTATATCGTTAGAGCCAGTTGCAACCCCATAGATGGCTCTTCTCAACAATTTCTGAGCTGCAGGAATGCCAATCCTCGACATGATAGCACGCACGGTTCTTCCATGGTTACTTATTTGCGTGTCAAAATTGATTCGGTCACCCTATTATATATGTACATAATATTCTGAGTTATAATTAATAAAAGTAAATTGCACACCATGGTATGGTATGTATTATAAGTTAAAATTAGCTTCCTCAGCATCAGGAAGCTAATTTGAACGCATAATACAACTCGTTAGTTCTGAATTAAGACTAGCTAACTTCCTTAAATCCAAAAACTTGTAGGTTTGGGAGAAAACTTACAAAGATAGATCCAGTAGAATTTAAAATTCCAGAGCCAGAGGAAGCATAATTGACACCCTGTAGAAGAACGTCTCCAACGGTAGTTGGTGCCAAGTAAGGAGGAGTAAAATTTACGAAACCCAATTCCTGTTCTGTCATAACAAAATGAGAAAGTAGTGAAGTTAATTCAAGTACATATCTCTACATTGTTGCAAAAATAGTGTACATATATAAATTGTAATACTAATTTGCCAGAATTTAAATCACAAAGACTTGTCGTATCGTACGAAGAATGTCAAAAGTTATTCTCCCATTTGTAAATCGTCCGGTTGGTTTCCCAAAATCAATTCCAAAGGGAAAATAATTTGCCTTTGCTACGGTTTGAAGGTAGTTGTTGTTTCCCACATCAACCAAGGAATCGCCAAAAGTGAAAAAAGCAGGAACACTTTTGTTGGCTGAGCAGCTAACCAACAACAAGAAGTAGACTACAAGAATTTGGAATATAATCCCCATTTCATGAAATAATAATAACCTTTCTTTCTTTTTCACAAGGGGGTTTGGTTATATATATTAATATATGCCTAACTTGGTCTGTGAAATTCCCTCCTTTCTGTAATTGATTAAATTTGTGCCTAACTCTCTGTCGGCCACAGTTCCATTTGTTATTTTTGCCTCTATTATTCTAACACGTGTTATTACCTTTAGATTGACTTCATTAAAATTGCGTAACCACTAGCAGAAGCCATAAGGTCAGACTTTAATGTCAATACAGCCAATGGTACTCTGATTTCTGAGCTAAGTTTCATTTGGGGATTTCACTCATCTTTCAGTTAGGCTTTGGCTAGGAATTGGATGTTCATCGCTTTCGGCCTGTGCCTAATGTCATGAAATTTACTCGTTCTACTTCACATTTTTTAATCAACACGAACAAGAGCAAAGAATACAAATTAGGGTATTTCACATATTTTGGGCCCAACTCACCTTTATGATTTTTGTTTATGTTCATCATTTTCTTCTTTGGTCCATCTTCTCTTATGAACCAAAAACCTCATTCTAGTTTATGTTATCTTTCTCCTCTAATATGTCAGCCTCCCTTTGCACTCCATTCCAATCACCTTTGGTCTTGGAAATAGGGCTGTGATTATCACTGTTGTTCATAATCTTAGGTGTACCCAACGCATTTGTTCACAGTTTTTGGGCTTCAAATCAATTGCCTCAAACAAATTAATCAAACCTAATTCCCATTGCCGAACAAATTTTATCTGCTGATTCAACTAAAATGCGAAAAGAAACAAAAATTATTACTTCACCAGCCCCCATAGCCTCTAATCCATGTTGTAAGGGCAAACAAATCTTTCCATGGATGCCCTCACCATTCACACTATGCCAAAACTTTTAACTCCGGTTATATTTTGCACCACGTAGAAAAAATTATTTTGCCCCTAAAAAGTAGGCAACATGTCGAGCACATAATCAAATTTAACATGAAATGAAACGGACTTGATGTTGATGTTAAGGACTAAAGTGACACTCGTAGAATATTTACTTTATCAATTACTTGATTGATCTTTTACTTATATACATATATTACTAACATGTACATCACCTTCACACCCTTTTGAGGCTGCGCCGCTCGTGAATCCAGGGGGTTCCCAGGAAGTTGTGAAACCCGCGAATCCACCTTATTCTCACGTATGCTAGCTCCATAATGCATAAACCCCCGCATACACCCTCTTGTTCAAATCCTGTTCGTGCCAAATGGCCGGAATTGACATATACTACATACAAGTTTCTTTTTAATTGATTAGAAGAGAATATATATATATATATAGCTTATTTATGTACATGCCCCTTGTGCTTTCAAACTTATCTCAGATTACCACCTGTGTTTCAAAACGTCTCAAAATATCCCCCAACCTTTGAAAAATGGTCTCAAGTAACCCGTTCCGTCAGCATTAATTATTAACGTTCCGTTACATGCTTTGGGCCCCACTTTGTTTTAATCTTTAACCTCTGCGAATAAGGGTTTTTCAGTTCTAAGAAAGGGGGAAATTGGGTGAGAAGGGGAAATTGGAGAAGAGGGCTTAGGGTCTGTGAAAATCTTAGGTGGGCTTCGATTTTGGGAGAATCTAGAGAAGAAATCACTGTTTGGTGTTAGACTCTAAGGGTAGAAAGTGTGAAGATGGTGGTGCTTAGAGAATCTGGAGGTTGTCAACCCATATGTAAGTGGACCCAATTCTCACTCGATTTTCTTGATTTTGGCATGTGCATTGTACTGTTGTTCGAGTATTTTTTGTTTTTTTTAAATACTTTTTGACTCTATGTTGGTCCTGGTATGGCATTGTGTGGTCCTTGTATGTTCCTTGTCTTGCTGTTGTGTGTTGCTGGAGTTTTTTTTGTTTTTTCTTATACTGATAGGATTAAATACATGAGTTTGAGAATTTGTTTTTTCGTATACTGATAGGATTAAATACATTATTCTTAAATAAAATCAAAAGAAAGACATGAGTTTGAGAATTTGTTTCAAAGTCAGCTGATCTGCACAGGCAGTTTTGACGAATTTGTTACTTAAAATCCCACTTGTGCTATTTTTCTTTTCTTTGCTTGACAGATCCTACAAAACACAAAAATAAAGTAATTAGCTCAAAGATATAAGGAACTAACTAAGAAAAGACAAGTGAATTTGATGTAAAATATATATAAATATGAGCTTGTCATATACTTTTTTACTCTGTGTTGGTCCTGGTGTGGTCCTTGTTTTGTCTTTGTTACCTTTGTCGATTTGTTAAGTGAATCTTCCTCTTACACAGATAAAGATGCTGACGAGGTTGTTACATTTAAGTTTTTCCATGGAGGTAAACTAGTTAAAAATATAAGGGACAGTGAATGGTCTTATTTGGGTGGTGAAGTCAGTTGGTTTGATTATTGTGAGGTTGACTATATGTCCATGTTAGAGCTATTTGGAATGGCTAAAGATTTGGGATATGGCAATGGGTATGATGTGAGTTTTTATGGTGTAGAGTTTGGAACTGCTAGACTCATTGAAATAGTATCAAATAGTACGCTTTTAGCTTGTATGAGCACGGTACCTAAAAGCAATAGCAGGGTGATAATTTTGTACTTGAAAGTAGTGAGCCTAACTTCAAGCCAAGTGGGGAATGATAGCAATGATCCTGAATATTCTTGTTTTGAGGATGATGATAGCAGTGATCCAGACTTTGAAGACAGTGACTATGCACAGAGTGATGAAGACATTGAGTTATTGAAGAAGGATGATAAGTGGTTTGAAGGTTAGGTGGATCATAGTTGTATTGACAATGATCCTAATGCAGAGGAAAATGATGAGTCAAACAATGGAGAAGAGTCACCTACACTTACCTGCCCAAATAGCTCTTCAAGTGAAGCTGAAGCAGTAGGTGAAGTAAGAAGGAAGAAGAATAGAACGCCAAAAAGTGAAGATTTCATACCTGAAATGGATATGGCAAACCCAAGTTTCAAACCAGGTTTAAAGTTTGCAACTGCCGAGATGTTTAGAAAAGCTATGAGGATATACTCCATTAATTGTGGAAGGGGGTTGATATTTATGAATAATGACCGTAAAAAAATAAGAGTAGTATGTGAAGAGGGCTGTCCTTTTGTTATCCATGCTTCAAGTGTTAGTGGTAGCACTTACCTGCAGTTGAAAACCTTTAATCCTACACATGTTTATAGTGAGGGGAGTAAAAATATACATGTCACTGCTAGCTAGTTGGCTGAAAGATATTCTGGGCAGTTAAGGCTCAATCCAAATTGGACTGCTTCTTCTTTTGCAGAGCAAGTTTACCAAGACTATGGTTACAGACCATCTAGAGCAACTGTGTACAGAGCAAGAGTCATGGCAGTTGACATTGTAGAGGGGTCTTACAGTAAACAATATGAAGTATTGTGGGATTATTGTCATGAGTTAAGAACTAGAAATCCTGGAAGTACAGTTATCATTAAATCTGAAATGGAAGGTGATAGGCCACGATTTCAGAGGATTTACATCTGTCTTGCAGCTTGCAAAAAGGGGTTTTTAGATGGTTGTAAGCCTGTGGTTTGCTTGGATGGGTGTCATGTCAAAGGGCCTCATCCTGGGCAAGTGCTTTCTGCAATGGGAGTTGATGCAAACAACGGAATGTTTCCACTTGCCTATGCATATGTAGAGAATGAGAGCAATTCAACGTGGCTGTGGTTTTTAGAATTATTGAGTGGTGATCTGAATATTAGGAATAGCCATGGTTATGTATTTATGATTGACAAACAAAAAGGTTTAATAGATGTTGTGGATGCTCTATTCCCTCATGCAGAGCATAGACATTGTTTGAAACATCTCTATGGAAACTTCTATTTGGAACATAGAGGTCTTGCTTTGCAACATCAAATGCAAGCAATTGCTAGGGCCATAACAGTGCCATGGTTTCATGCAGAGATGAGAAAGATGTTGGAATTGTCTAAACCTGCACATGATTGGCTTGCAGAGAAAGATCCTAGGCATTGGAGTAGGGCATATTTCAAGACTGATCCCAAGTGTGACATGCTTATGAACAACCTCTGTGAGGCATTCAACCATAGCATAATGGATGCCAGAGACAAGCCTGTTTTGACTATGCTAGAAAGAAATCGGTTGTATATAATGTTGTTGATGGCTGGAAGAAGGGTTTTCTGTGAGAAATGGCATGGACAAGTTGGGCCAAGAATTAGAAAAATATTAGAGAAAAACAAAGGAAAAGCTCAGTGGTGCATTCCTAAGGCTGCTAGACAGAATAGGTTTGAAGTGATGCACCATAGTGGCCGCAACTTTGCTGTTGATTTGAATGCCCACTCTTGTTCATGCTGTGCCTGGGATTTGAATGGAATACCATGTTTGCATGCTTGTGCTGCAAAAAGTTGGTTTCATGGGAATCCAGAGGACTTTTGTGATGCAGTGTACAAGAAAGAGGCTTATTTGAGAGCCTATGAACCAATGATTATGCCTATGAGTAGCCAAGATCAGTGGATAAAGATTAATTTAGCTCCATTACTCCCCCAAAATACCACAAGCAGCCTGGTAGGCCCAAGAAGACAAGAAAATAAGCTTTTGATGAGCCTAAACAACCTGCTAATCCATATAAGCTTCCTCGGTATGGCATCCCTTTAAAGTGTGGCAATTACGGTGGAGAAGGGCATAATCGAATTAGTTGTAAGGTATGTGTCATTATCCAAAATTGCTTTACATTTAAATCTATTTGATTTGGTTTCTGACTTGATGACTTTGCTTATTAGGAATCTAGAAATCCCAACATGAAGCCTACTAGGAAGAGGAATGTTGCCAAGGAAAAACTTCCAGTAAGTGCCACGATTTCAACTATGTTTTCACCATTCAAATTTTCATATCATGCCTACCTAATTATTATTTGTTTTAGGTAAGAAGGAGAGATGGTGGAGACCAAAGTAGCGGACAACAAAGTATGCAACTAAGGCAAATGAGGCAAGCAAGTGCTTCCCAAGGGCCTTCTCAATC